CAGAAGCCAGAGAATGACGATAAGAAGAGTGAGCATTATGGTCTCTGCTGTAAGTAAGCTCTACTGTTAAAGTTCAAAAGGAACCATAATTGGTAAGTTTTAAAAAAACAAATTATAAAAACCAGTAGCCAATGCAACCCATAGTTCACCTGCCCTTTGTTGTACAGTGAGAAAAGGGTCAGGCAGGTTAAATGGCAGCAAGTATGAAGGAACTTCAGAAAACACTAGGGAAACAGGAAACTGGGAGGAAGTGATGGGGGGAAGGCTTTGACACAAGTGTGGCAAAGCATACCTGAAACTCTTGGTTCGATTGCCCCCAGCACCACAGGCCTGGCTCCCAGGCCCACACAGACTTCTTCTTTTTTTTTTTTTTCTTTGCTTTTTGGGTCACACCCGGCATTGCACAGGGGTTATACCTGGGGCTCTGCACTCAGGAATTACTCCTGGTGGTGCTCAGGGGATTATATGGGATGCTGGGGATCGAACCCGGGTTGGCCGCGTGCAAGGCAAACGCCCTACACGCTGTGCTATCACTCCAACCCCCACCCTTTTTTTATGACACACAGACATTTTTAAAGGAGGAACAGAGAACAGTTTTTAGACGAATTCGTAGAAATTTGAACATCATTGGGAGGATATTAAGAATTGCTAATATTTTTTTTCTAAATGTGAATTGTTGTTTTTATTTTGTCCTTTAGAGTGAGTAGAGCAGCTAAGAATCTTGCCTTGGCATACGGCTGAGCCTGGTGCAGCCCCTGGTACCGCGTATGGTCCCTGTGCCATGGCAGGGCTGATTCCCGAGCACGAGCCAGGTGCCTCGAGCACTGCCTGGTGTGGCCAAAGAAGCCAAGACCAAACAAAAATCCTAGCCTTTTCACAGCCCCTGTTGGAGCATGTGGGTAAAATGATAGAATGTTGGGCGTTTTCTCTTTCTTTAAAATTGGAGCTGCAGGGGAGGGTTTAAAGGAAGCAAACAGGCCGTGAGTCATTGTTTGAACCTGAGTGAGACGGATAAGAAAGGGCTCTTTTTACTAGTCTCTTTGCTTTGAGAGATCTAGAATATTTACTAAAATTTTAGAACTAGTTCCTTTCGAGTCTGGAGAGAGTGCAGTGGGTAAGGTGCTTGCATGCTGCTCGTTCCTGCCACCACATTCGGTCCCCTGAAAACCATTAGGAGTGATCCTCGAGCACAGCCAGGGGTGGCCCTGACCCCCCTTTCCCAGTCAGACCCCCTCCCCCCCCCACACACACACACATTATGTTAATAAAAAGCAGAAGGTAGATGGTGGCTAAGAGAAGCAGCAGTAGCTTGCTTCCCGAGAAGGAAAGAGAGGTGAGGAAAGGTTGATGAGGATGGTGTTGAGGGAAACACGGGGTGGGGATTGAGGGATGAAATTCTGGAGGAATTTCTCACAGGACCAAGCAGGGAAGGACTTGACCCCACCTCGCTCCTGCACATTCAGCTGTTTCTGCACACACAGGACCAAACTGGTCCATGGCACTATCCTCTGCGTGGTGACATACATGACAGGTTTGGAGTCAGAGCTGTGTGACTGCCGGTGGACATTTGGGCACTTCTCACAGTCTGGATGCAGAAGGAAACGGGCACTGCCATCTCTGGAGACTGGTAGAATGCCAAGGGCAGCATGAGTCATACACGGTCTTCTGCAGGATGCTTTGAATCATGGCCTCTAAACACAGTCTTAAACTTTTCTCAAAGTCCATCCATTAGACGGAGTTAGAGCCCCCTTTCCTAAGGCTCGGCTGTCGTCAGCAGCCACGTGCCTGCACCATGTCTGGGTTGGGCACGAGGGAAATAAGGCACAGTTGCTGGCCTTCGCAAACAGGGCTGTACAAGGGGGAGCAGACAAAGAAGCAAAGTCTGCTAACTTTGCAGTGTCCGTGTTTTTGTTTTTGTTTTAATTTATTTTTTCTCTTTTGGGTCACACCTGGCGATGCACAGGGGTTACTCCTGTTCATACACTCAGGAATTACTCCTGGCGGTGCTCGGGGGACCATATGGGATGTTGGGAATCGAACCGAGGTCTGCTGCATGCAAGACAAACTGCCTACCCGCTGTGCTATCACTCCATCCCCTGTCCCCCGTCAGTGTGTTTTGATGTTTGATTTAACACGTGTATATCCCCCTGAGAAGACTTTTTTTTTTTTTATGTTTTCCTAATTTTCAGATCTGTGTCTTATATTTGGAACTTCTCGCATTGTGATTTTTCTGGCTTGAGTTATTCCTTGATTTATTTATTTATTTTTAAGCCCCCTCCCTCACCCTCCCCTCCCTGCTGTCACTAAAAATGTACCCAAGGTAAAAAAAAAAAGGGGGGGGGTGTAAGAGAAAGCTTGTGGTCTGTGAAATGTGTCATTTTCAGTAAAATCAAGGTTTATTTTCTGTGACCTGTGGAAGCCTTGTATTTGAAGCACGCCCAGCATGCTAAGTATAGATTACTTCATTTTCTTGCTTTTGTTTTTTGTTCCGGGGTGACAGCTGAGAGGAGCAGTAGAATAGCTACCTGGACCACCCCTGGATCAACAGGTGCCCGTAATCTGAATGAAGCCAATAATTTGTCATGTCATTTGTGCTTCTTCCTTTTGTTTAAAGTTGTTTGTTGAAGAGGTTCCCATTGTACACGTATAACAACATGATGTATTCTAGAACTAGATTGAAAAACAGTCTGTAATTAGCCAGCAGATAATTAGCACTTTTAGGATTCCACTTTCATCGTATTATCATTTACTCTTAAAATGAGCTCAATTATCTTCTGTAATTTACCTGGCATGTGTTTTCTTGGCACACAGACTCACTCCTTCTCTTTCTAAGTAAGAGATGAATCCATTTGAAATTTTAGATGGTACCAGCAAACTTTGTGCCGAGAATGGCCAGTGTTGGGATGTTATTTGGAGAGCATGTTTACTCTACATTAGTGATGCCACTGCCCTTTGCTTTGTTCTTTAGGTATTATTTGACAAACAGTAGTCTATGTTCAAATGACTCTTTATGTGTATTTTTTAAATTTTTTAAATCATCAACTTTTTAATTTGTCATTTTAGTTTCAAAATTCAGCATATTCAAATTTCCATTGGTGGAAATGTTTTCACTTTCTGAAACAATTTTAGTGAACTATTTGATTATCATAGTTTTTTTTTTCTTAAACATTAATCTCATTGCAAATTTCAGAGTGATTTTTCCATTTTAGCTCTTTGTCAGGGATAAAAGTTTTTATGTGTTAGAAACACAAGAAATAATTTTAGGCACTGTAAGTGGTGTGTTCAGTTGAGTCGTGTGAAGAAATGATGCAGGTACTTTTAGATTACTCATATACAAACAATTTTGGCCTGTGATTTATTAAGAATCAGCTTCTAGGTTCTCCCATCATGTGTATTGTTTTTATGTTGCATTCCTTAAAAATTACTCTCAGTGATTTTACTTTAGCCCATTATTGTGATCATTGTCAAATGGACAGCCAAGTCCTTGTGAAAATTACATGATCTTCGTAAGCATTTTGCTTTGGGTCTGTTCTGTAAGTAGCCTGGACTGTGCACTGTATAACAATAGCTAGCGTTGTTGAATGAGGGAATACTTCATTAAATAGGTTGGCCTGTTATCTAGTGAAGTGAAAAAGAATCGTTCATTTTTAAGAGTCTATAAAAGTGTATCTATTCCAGACAGAATTTATTCTAGTCTTCTCATTTTATCATATGTACTGATATATTTGGCAGTGACAAACTTTAATAATGCTTAAGCCTTACTATTTGCTTTCTGTCTGCATCACGCAGTATTTGTCTAGCAGAGAAGACCAGGTTTTATGTAAAATCTGAAATACTCCGGGGGCAGGGCCCCCAAGCAGTCCTCAGGGACCCAGAGGCCCCTCCCTGGGATATTCAGCAAGCTGCGCTAAAAGTCTCTGTGCTGGGATCCAGTGATATGCTGCTCAGACCCCAGGCCTGCAGTGCTGGGGACCACCAGGGCCATACATGGGCAGTACTTAGAGTGGACCATGTAGTATCAAGGATGGAACTAGGGTCCCCTGTGCTATTTCCTCAGCCTTAAAATAGTTTTAAAAAAATTGTATTCCTTGCTATTAATTGTCCATTTGCTTCCTACTCTAGCCTTGACCCCAATGTCCACCTGGTTTCTTTAATTGGTCTACATTTTGGTCATTCTGATTGTTTTATTTAGTAGTCTCTTACATGAGTTATCTATTGCTGTTAACACATTACCCTAAAGTGTAAGTTCTTAGAACAAGATGTAACTGTTGCCTCACAGTTTCTGTGATTAGGATCCAGAAGTGATTTAACTGGATCCCTCCAGCCCGGGTCTCAAGACTGCATCTGGGGCATCAGCTATCTCAAGTCTGGACTTGGGGAGGATCACGGCACTGTCAGGGGCAAGCTGCCGGCTCACTGCTGTTGGCTAGAGAGTGACGATGGGAGAGATTGCAGTGTAGCTGAGCCTGGGAAAGCAGAGAATGGATGCCAGGATGAAGGCCCCCTGCCTCTTTGTAACCTCATGGCATTGACATTTGTTACAGTAGTACAGTCTTTAGAAGTGGGTCCCTTGGTTCCTCCAGACCCAAAGGGAGGTGATGACACCAGAGCCTAAGTCTCAGTAGGATCTTAATTGATGCCCACCACCTTTGTTTTTGGTACTTGGGAGTGTCTAGAAACATCCAGCACAAACATAACTTTCACTGTGGTGTTTAACAGGATTATGATAACAGTTGTGTGTTTAAGCAGAATTCCTTTTGCTTAAATAGCTGTTGTCTCCTAATCTTGAATTAATCATTTTATACAGAATGAGCCTCCGGGAAAGAGGGCAAATCAGGACAGGGATAAAGGGCTGTTCTTGGCAGGGTTGCTTGTGTAGCCTTTCCTAGTTATTTAGATAAGGAGCTTTGTTAAAACTCTGAGGTACTGTCAAAAAGTATGCAATTGGGAATATCTTATGTGCTGCTCATTATGTAAATTCTTATGTTCATATTGCTCAGAATCGGTAAGGGTTTCCAAGGCGTCATGAAAAGATGGGGATTTAAAGGCCAGCCAGCGACTCACGGTCAGACCAAGACCCACAGGAGACCTGGAGCTATTGCGACTGGTGTAAGTAGGATTTGGTTATGTGCTTTTTGTTTACTAAAATTTCAGCTGCCACAGAGATAGTACTTTGGTCTGTAGGTAGGTCCCGTTACTTGTCAAACTTTCATGGGTCCTGGCGTCATTGTCTTTCCAGAACCAGATCTGAATCATGTAGTTACAACTATGACAACCCATGTACTTAATCGCTAGTGTTCCCAATTCTTTTCTGCCTACTTTCTCACTCAGCTATAGGAAATAAAGGATTAGAATGCCCTCCCATATGACCCCACTGGGTCTTTCACGCATTTGTTTTTGCCTTAAATGAGACAGTTGGAAGGATTGCCAAAGAATTTCCTGGTACAAGGGAAAGCAGTAAAGAAGAAATGGAGACCTATTAGAAGTGCAGAAAAGGGAGAAGGGCTTTTGTGTTGTTAACTCATAGAGTTATAAAATCAGTGAGAGAGTTTTATACTCCAGAGCAATAGCATAATACAAGATCGGTCTTTACAACTTGACCATGTAATCAGCTTAGTGTAATAGGAGAAATACAGAATACAGTTACTCTTGAGATACTAATTTCTCACCTGACAAATTTTGTTATCTAACTCTAACTGTTGCCACTATGTTGGCAGGAGTCTGGACACAGGCACTCATACCTTGTTGACCTTGTTGGTGGGATGCCAATAGGACATCCTTTGTGGAGGGAAATGTGGCAACACCTAATAGAATGAATTTGCCTTTGACCTAACTGTCTTCTTGTAACTTACCCTGAAGGTTTTCTCCCCCACATAGGAAAATGCACTTGTCATTATTGTATTATTTGTAATTGCATGCACAGATGCCCACACCAGAGAGTTTATATGAATGAACTATGCTTCTTCTATTCAATTGAATACTCTGCACTTCCAGAAAAGAATTGAGGTCATTATAAACAATGGAGTAATTTCAAGGATATGAATAAACACACATATTATCTCTGCTTAGTTTTGCAAAAAGGGGTGGATCAGAAAAATAAACCAGACAGAACAAATTGGTTCCTTGTGCAGAATGGATGGGGACACTATAAAAGGGCTTGGGAGTAGCAGGCGTGGCACCTCCATGGATGTGCTTTTTGGTTACATTTTTTTTTTCTTTTGCAATCCTATTAATGTGGCATGTATTCAAAATAAGACATGGTTGAGGTGTATTTACAATTAAAACATTGTGAACCAAACTGTTTCCAATGGATAACATAATCACGCTAAAAATGAAGAAGGACTAACTCAGTTAACTTTTGACAAAGCTGTTGATTTATAAACCCTGAGTCTTTGTTTTCATTTCATTTCATGTAGGTGCTAATTTTGCTTCTCTCATTTTAGGATATTGCCAGAGTCTGGCCTGGAACTAAAATGCCTGGACAAATGGGAAACATAGATAGGACATCATATGGGCTGAAAGTAAGTCTCTTAAGTGATTTTTTTTAATAGCACTGTAGCACTGTCCTCCCATTGTTCATCGATTTGCTCGAGCGGGCCCAGTAATGTCTCCATTGTGAGACTTGTTGTTACTGTGTTTGGCATATCAAATACATCACGGGTAGCTTGCTGGGCTCTCTGAGAGGGGCGGAGAAATCAAACTCGGGTCTGCCGCGTGGGCCGCATGCAAGGCAAACACCCTACTCACTATGCTATCAAGTGCAAAATCAATAGAGTATGTATTTAGTTTGCATCTGTGAAGAAAAAACAGACCAAAGGGATATGTATCTGTGTATGGTTGTTCTAACATATTTTGCAAGTGGTGGTAAACATGTGAAGAATGAGTGTGTTTTTATGTGTGAGTTGTAGTTGTGGTGGTGTATTCATTTAATATTCAAGCCTTAGAATGTGCAGCCATTTAAAAAAAAAAAACTTGTGGCCAGACTAGCACTTGCTTTGCTTGTGCCAGTCGTAGTTTGACCTCCAGCACTGTATAGAGTCCCCAGAGCATTACCAGGAGTGACCTGAGTTCAGCTGGGTATGGCTCAAAAAAAGAAAACTAAATCAGCTTACTGTTTGACCTGGAAGATATTTTTACCATATAGATGTGACTTAAAAAATACAGATTTAATTTTTTAAAATATAAAGATTGAAATCAGTATGTCTTATTTTTTAAATGGGATGAGGGTTATAGCTCAAGTGGTCAAGTACACACCCAGCATGTGTAAGACCCCAAGTTAGATCCCTGACCCTATGAAGAAAGTAAGTTTAAAAAAATGAATCTAAAGTCCTGTGCCTACATATGTTAAATAGAAATTTCTATGTCAAAATCTATATAAGTGTTTCATGAGACAGAAAAGTAGGTTATATCCCGATTACCTTGGATTCAGTGTCAGATGCGTGGGTGGACAGAGCGGGTGTGGGTGATGAGACCTCATAGGGGTGAGAAATGAGCAGTGTGAAAGGATTGGGGTGTATATCACATGTCCGTTATGTCCCGAGTGGGGAGGGGAGGTAAAGTTTAGCCTGCTGATTTGAGGAATATATGTCATATCTAAGTGAAAATGAGTTGTACTGGGGTGTTATCTGGTAAGTTTTTTTTTTTCCTCCTGAGGTAGGGGTGCCCACATCCAGTGATGCTCAGGGTTATCCTGGCTCTGCACTCAGGGATCACTCCGGACGGGCTCTGGGGACCGTATGAGGTGCCAGGATTGGCTGTTTGCAAGACAAACACAGTACCCACTGAACTATGGCACCGCCATCTGATTTTTACTAAACAAATAACAAATGTTGATAGTCCCCAAATTATGGAAGTACACAGAAGAAAAGACGACACCCCAAAGTAACCACTAGTAATATTTTGGTGGATGTTCTTCCAGTCATTTCTAGATATGATTTATTTCTAAAATTTTACCAGCAGAATTTTTTAATTTTATAATTGAAGATTTTTTTCTCTCTTGTATTGCTTTAATGTTTACTATATTTGTATCTGTTTGGGTGCATTATTGTATGTGTGTATGTGCACTCACACACACATAGAGATTTGTATATAGTATTTGATATTTAGCCATTGTTAAATATGACCTATGCATCAAGCTTGATTTTTTTTTTTACTTCCCCCCTGCATATTTTCTCCCTCAGTACTGATTTTTCCCAATCATCTTCTCCCCTATGTTTTTCCCTCATGTTGAAATGCTTGAGAACCATCTGCTCATCACTTTTAAAATTAAGATACGTAGAGGTGGTGCCTTCCCCGGTTTCTAAAAAAACAAAAACCAGGAAAACCCAAAACACTAAAATAAAGTTGAATTTCCACTTGTTATTAATAGTGCCAACAAGGGAAATTTAGATAGTATCTAAATAATTTAGTCTTGATCACTTAGTCACATATCGAAGATGTCTTTCCCACTTCCGTAGAACATAGGTGGTATAGTCATAATTAATTTTAGAAGATTTAAATTGTTTTAATTCTCATTATCATTTAGAAGTACATACATTATATTATTATACAGGTTACTTAAAGCCTTAGCTTTGAGTTACATTTTGTTCTAATTACAGCACATTCCCCAATTTTTAACTTAAATTTTAATTCCATTTTTAGGTGTGGAGAATCAATACAAAGCACAATATCATCTATGTAAATGGCTCTGTGCCTGGACATAAAAATTGCTTAGTAAAGGTATGTAGCACCGCCTTCATTTTCCAACATTGAGACTGTGGATATGAACCATAAATCTCGAATGACCTATGAGTGTGGATGGAAAATAAGTGGTTTATTTCCCCATGTGCTCTTTTCTGAACCTTTCAGCTTCTTAGTAGCACCTGAGGGGGGGAATTGCACAAAGTAACCCATAACCTGTGTCTGTAAGCCAGGAAGCTTCGGGAAGGGTGGAAACCGCCACCTAGGGCTCTATGGAATACCAGTAATCTCTGTCCTTCCAAAAGATACCTTTGCTGTTTTAAGAGTGCTTAGAGTAGAAACTAGATGAGAGTGTCACCATGAAAGGTGGTTAAAGGTAGATGTTCTAAGAACTTTTTAGTCGTGTTGTTTGTTCTTTTTAGCACTGCTCTGGCTGTACCTTTAAGAATATGTTCAAAAACATAAAGATAAAGAAGAAAACAAATGTGGGACAGGATAGATTTGAAGAAAAACAAACTCTCAGGGCCTTGTTTCCAGCAAATAAAACACAAAGAAGGTATTAGCCTGGAATTTAGGCTCACTTGATAGAAAGTGAGAGGTGACTTACTCCATTCTGAAAATCATTGTGTGTAGACGCAGTATTACTTATGCCCTCATTTCAGTTTTTCAGTAACAACAAAAATAGATTCATTCTTATACTTCAGGTTTTTCAGTTTGGGTTTTGGATATATCTTTCATTTCTACGAATAGACTCTGCTGATAACATAGGGTAGGGTATTTGTGTGATTAAATTCCCTTTGTTGCAACTCTTCACTTTCTTGTTCTAGTGGTATTGTCCTGCACTACCTCTTCTTCAAAAGATTCTGACTGGTTTGCCAGTATAAATAAATAGATGGTGGAGGGAGTTTTGGGGAATGCAGGGGAGTCATAATGCCCAACAAAGATTACGTGCACAAAAATACCTCCTCTAGAGTCTTGCACATTTGTTAAAGGTTAGGCTGGAAACGTTTTGCCTTCGACTATAGTGTGGACTTTAACTAAGATGTCATTTGTTTCAAACAGTTTCGAGAATTCTATTTTTTTTTGGGGGGGGGGGGGCGGGTCACACCTGGCTCTGCACTTAGGAATTACTCCTGGCGGTAGCTCAGGGGACCATATGGGATGCTGGGAATCGAACCCGGGTCAGCCGTGTGCAAGGCAAACGCCCTACCCACTGTGCTATTGCTCCAGCCCCAAGAGTTCTAATTCTTGGCATCTACAATTAGGGTATATAAGCTGGCAGTGCTTTTATCTGAAATGTTCTTCAGGTATGATTAAGCTATAAAAATACAGATGGTATGGGACAGGGAGACACAGGAGCTGAAACAGGTGTATGGAGGCACCTTGGGCACAAGTGATATGTGGTTCCTGAGCCAGGAGTCACCCCAACACTGCCAGGTGTGACCCCCCCCCCAAAAAAAAACCTGAGGTAAGAAATAACTACAAATCAGCTCTTTGGGTCATTTAATGGCCGAATCAGCACATTTATTAAATTAGCTAGGGAAGTTTTGTTGGTTTTGTTGCTGTTTAGATTTTATTTTTGGTTTGAAGATTGTTAACATTGGTGAGAATGACTTTTTCCCCCAAGTTAAAGTTCAACCCAGGATTAGTATATTGATAGGAGATGAGGCGGGGGGGTGAGGGGTGGAATTAATTTATTTTCTTTTGCCCAACTTAATTTCTTGAGCAGTTTAAATGAGATTAATATAGATGTTTTTCTGTACTTAGCTGCCCCTAGCAGCTGTGTACTTTTTCTAAGCAAATTATTCATTGCTTATTGCCAGAATGATTATACATTATTTTATTCTGTGTATGATTCCATGTGATACCTCTCACCCACCCCCTTTCTTTCTGAATGAAGCCTTATGGAAAGAATCGATAGCTTCAATCAATCTAGTTACCTTTTTTCTTTCCCCCCAGAAAAACATAACCCAATATTTTTAAATGTTATTTGTGTGTGAAGTCAAGTTTTATTTATTATTTATTGGTTTGGGGGGCCACACTTTGAAGTGCTGAGAGCTTACTCCTAGCTCAGTGCTCAAGGATCACGTCTGGTGGTGTTTGGAGACCATACTGGGGTTTGAATCATGGTCTTCGCTGTGCAAGGCAAGCACCTTACCCCGATACCATCTCTCCAGCCTAAAATAGCTTTATTTCAGTAAAACGAGGAGAGCCAGAGAAATTACACGTCACTGTTACATTGTGGGCAGCTGAGACAGTGGCAACCCAGCAATTTAGACTGTATAATAGTAGAACGATTGCGTATTTATTTATCTTGCTTGAAAGAGCTTCTTCATGAGGCATAAGCTCTACCTGAGCCACGTCCCCATTCCTTAAGTATAGCTCCTTAGTGTCTATTAAATGTAGGCTGATTTTCTCACCATAAGTTTATATTTTTGTTAATGTGCCCTTAGAATTAAAACTAACAAAAATATTAGGTAAATAGAGAAATCAGTGCTTTGCTGAAAGATAGTTGATCAGAGAGATTGTATGGTGGGTGAGGGCTGTCTTGCATGCCGTGGTGAGCCCTTTGCCTGAGAACCAGCAGGTGTGGCCCAGATCAGCCACCTCCAAGTAAAGAATAGTGATGCCTTTCAGGAATATTGTGAGCTCTTTATATTTAAAACTCAATTTGGGTATACTTGATATACAAGTAGTAATTGTGGAATATAACATAAATTTTTGTTTCTGAAGTGTATGTTACACATAAGATACAAATTATGAGGTATCTGATTAACTTGAAGATTTTATCACTGGCTTAAAGTTATCATAATAAAATAATACATTTAGGGACCAGAGTGATAGTACAGCAAGTGTGATGCTTGCCTTCCATGTGACTGACCTGGGTTCAATCCTGGCACCCAATTTGATCCTCTGAGTCCAAAAGAAGTAATCCCTGAGCACCACCAGTTGTGACTCAAAACCCATAATAACACTAATACATTTAGTTCCTTTTATGCTTTTTCATTTTTTTTTTTTTTTTGCTTTTTTGGGGGAGGGGGTCACGTCCAGCAATGCTCAGGGGTTACTCCTGGCAGTGCTCGGGGAGAGCATATGGGATGCTGGGAATCGAACCTGGGTCAGCCACGTGCAAGGCAAACACCCTCCCCGCTGTGCTATTGCTCCAGCCCCACTTTTTCATATTTTATGATGTAGGAACGATCTCCTTTGATTATGAACTATAGAGAAAAAACCGCAGTCTTCAACTTCATTGCTAATTTACTAATTTGATCTTTGGCTTCCCTCTCCCCTGCAGGTCAGAGACTCTAAGCTGCCAGCATATAAGGATTTCTGTAAAAACCTACCATTCCCTACATATTTCCCCGATGGTGATGAAGAGAAACTCCCGGAAGATTTGTATGATGAAAATGTGTGCCAGCCCAGCGCACCTTCTATCACCTTTGCCTGAGCCAGTGGACAGGGCAGAGAGTTTTGATGGATGGAGTCGGGAATCCTGTTTTCCTTACGGAACCACATAGACCTGTTATGTCAAAGGTGTAAACACAGCCTTTATCCTTCAACTGAATTTTGTTGGAAAAAATTACATCACACATACCCGCTAAGTAGGATGGAGATGTCAACTGTAGAGGCACTGGCAGTTTCCGGACAGAATCTTTACATTATGTGAGCTTTATGCTTTTCTACTATGTATTTCCAGGTCATCATGTTTATAATTATAACTTCCGTAATTAAAGATCTGTCTCTGTGAATGAGGTGGATGTGTGGCAAACCATCTGTGAACTCTGGGACCAGAGAGAAAGGAAAAAAAAACTTACCTTGCAAGCAGCCAGTCTAGGGATAGTTCCAATATCTCATGGTCCCCAGAATCCCACCAGGAGTGAGGAGTAAGCCCTGAGCACTGACAAATGTGGCCCCCAAAAACAACAACAGCAACAAAAAACTGTTTGAGAACTCTGATCGAAATTGCTGAGACAGATGAAGCCATTTTCATTCTTAACAATTTTGATATTCTTTTATACTTTAGAAGCTTCAAGAATGAAGGTGAGATTTTAATTTAAAATATATATGCCACAGCTAAAGGAAAGATAATGAAACAATAAAATATGGGTCCTGGTTTCCATGTGTGCAGAGTAACAGCCATATTTAGCTGATGACTCAGTTGTCAGGTTGGTATGGTCCTCTTCTCTTGATTGCCTCCAAAAGGACTTGAATGACTGGGCATTGTACATTCAGCATACTTTTACTAATCACCTATTACACAAATCTCATTAATATATGAAGAGAATATGTTTTCACTAATGGCTGTTTAGGACAAGATAATTAGGCTTCACAACAGTCGCAGGACTGGGCCGATAGAACAGGGAGTAAGGCTTGGCTTTCGTGGCAACCAATCCCAGTTCAAATCTCTGTACCACCCTCAATACTGCTTGGTGTGACACAAAAACAAACAGTCCATATTTAACTAGTGGATTTTCTCTGACTAGATTTCTGAGGACACAGCAGATCCTATTTATTTTTCTTTTTTGACTGTGGAGCCTGGGCTCAGGGTTATTCCCGAAGACACTTGCCAGGCTGTACAATTCAGTGATGAGGACCAGCGGTGCTGGAAGCCACCAGTGCCACATCTGGTGGAGTTCAGGAAACTTTTTGGTGCAGAAGATTCAGCTTTGTCCTCACACATGCCAGACACACCCAGCTGAACCCTGAGCTATCTCCACAGACCCCAAGATGCCTGCTTTGAACTCCAGATGTTTTCTGAGGCTCGACTCATCCAAGAGACTTATGTCTCCACATGATTTCCTGTGATTAAGAATTAATCGTTGCTAAAACATTCCATAGTATTTTCCGGCCCATAGAATATTCCTCTTGTTCTTAAAATACAGAAGAAGATTACTCTTAACACACAGAGTTCTTCTACTCAGATTGGCTCTGTGAGAGTAAGACAAATAATATTGATCGGTTACATATTTCTCTTCAATTGTGAGTTCCTTAAAAGGAATCCTTTAAAACAGGCATGATCTTTTGTCAAGTCATATTTCATTACAAACAAAAATAACAAAAACTTGTTTATTATTCAATAATCCTGAACTTGTTAAAAGATGCATCAAACAGGGATGGAGAGAGCTCAACACACAGGAATACTGCATGCTGGGGACCCTGGTTCAGTCCCCAGCACCGCATGGTCCCCTGAGCACCAAGAGAAGTCACCCTCAAAAACTGAGCTAGGAGTAGCCCCCAAGCACCACTAGGTGTGCTCTGAAAATTAAGTGATATGTCAGGCAAGAATTATACTCCTGGGTCAAATGATCATTTTAAAAACACTGTAGCTTCTACTTAGTTGTTTTACACATCCTCAAAAGGACAGTCAGACAAAGAACAATGATAAATATTATTAAAAACAAATCCCATGGGCCAGAGAGACAGTACAGAGGACAAAGTGCTTGCCTTCAATGTGACTGACCTGGGTTCGATCCTCAGCACCTTGTATGGTTTCCGAAGCTTCTCAGCACCACCAAGTGTGTCCCCCCAAACAAAAGGAAATCTCAGTATTTGTAAGCTTTGGCTACTTAGAGAGCAAAATCGCCTCGAGTATCAGAAGCAGTGAAGATATTGCAAGAGGAGAACCAAATGCAAGATTAGTATATAAAACAGCAATACTTAGGGGTTGGGGGAGGAGTGAGGACGGTTGTCATTCACAGTGGCAGTTTTCCTTACACTTGTGCACACAAACCAGATATGCTTACCAATGGTCTCCATCCTTACTTGGAAGTCACATTCCCAGCCATGGAGATCGTCACACATCTTTGGGGTAGTGCTTGCTGGGGATCACACCCTTGGTTTGTGTTTCCACACACCTGGCTGGGATGCAGCTGGGACCATGCTCAACAATGCATGTGAATGGGGGGCGGGGGGCGGGGGTGTTGAATTTGACACCTCAGCAGACCAGACACTTTAGCCACTGAGCCATCTCCTGGCTTCCACAATAGCAGTCTTTTTAAAATAAGGGTTAACTAGGAAATTGGCCTACAAGAAATGTTCTAGTTCTTAGAGAAGAAAAGGTCTTTCTGGAAGAACAATAATAATAGAAAGAAATATATACCGTGGTTATGAATGGGAAGGTAAAGAATTCATTCCTATTTCTAAATTGCCAGTAGGACTTACAGTGTAACTATCTGAGTTTAAAATTGATGTGAAAGTTATTCAAGAATAACGAAAATTGGGGCTAGAGCAATAGCACAGCAGGTAGGGCGTTTGCCTTGCACGCAGCCAACCCGAGTTTGATTCCCAGCATCCCATTTGGTCCCCTGAGTGCTGCCAGGGTAATTCCTGAGTGCAGAGACAGGAGTAACCCCTGTGCATCGCCAGGTGTGACCCCAAAAGCAACAACAAAAAAAAGAATAACCAGAATTTTAAATGGGACTCAGATATGCCCATACTATTCTTAGGGACTTAAACTTTCAATTTTGAAATACCGAATACAATATACTTTAATTCTACCTGACTCATCTCTGATCAAAATAGTTTAGAGATGGATCATTTGCAGATAAAACATTAGGAAGCAGTTATTAGCTTAAGAGACAACTGTGCATTTATTGCTAGGGAACAAGGACCTTTTGAGTTTCAGTAAAGCATTCACAGTGCTGGAGAGAAAGAAATCCACATAAAGGGAAGCGGATGAACTTTACGGAGAAAATATTGTCTCACTTTTAGGACAGAGGAGAACCCTGTCTTAAAGCCACACAGAGAGCAAAGCCATTTTCGCCCTCAGCCCAATTCCAGTCCCAGACCCAGCCGTTGCACCTTGTAGGGCCTTGGAAAAGGATGTGGCTTCATTCCTGCAACTTGGAAGGAAATGGTCTGTGCATCCTGCTGAGCCAGCTGCAATCAGAGAACTGTTTTGAAATGCATCAGCAACTAGAGTATGCTGCTAAGAGTCTTGGGGCACTTTCTGGCTACAGCAGTTGCCATCAGGCACTGAGACACCAACCTCCACTGAAGACGGGGCCATAAGTGCTCATGGCCGCCTGAGCATTGGAGCCAAACCATCACCAACAGTAGCATGCAGGGGCAGGGATGGAGCATGGGTCAGACGCCTGCACGTATGGGGCCCAGTATTGACCCCAGCGCCACGGGCCTGCTGAGCACCAATGGTGGGCCCAGCATCACGTTCTAGCACTGAACTCTCCAGCCAGGTACACTGTGAAAGGTCTTGGGGGGCCCCTGAGAATTACTTGGGAGCCTCATTCCCAGCCACCCTTCTGCCCCTCAATCACTTAATCACTTAATCACTTAACTTCCCGTTAGTCGTTGATTTGCTCAAGCGGGCGCCAGTAACGTCTCCATTTGTCCCTGTCACATGCTAGTGTAGCCCAATGGCATCTGTTCGCTCCGGGAACATGAAGGGCCTCAAACCGATCGTTCATGATTTTCACGAAGAAGTCTGACCATCTGGAAGGTGGGCGGCCACGCAGTCTTTTGACATCCCATGGAATCCAGTCGGTAACAGCTCTAGTCCAGCGGTCGTCTTTAAATCTCATTACGTGACCAGCCCATCTGATTTTCGACACCTTGGCAAATGAGACAGCGTTCCTGATTCTTGATCGTCGATGGATGTCAGAACTCCAGATTTTTTCTCTCATTTGAGTGAAACGTGATATTCCAAGCATAGCTCTTTCTATTCTTCTTTGGGAGACCTGAATAGCGTTTTCATCTTGTTTGCGTAGGGCCCAGGTCTCTGAGGCATATGTTAATGCAGGAAGAACAGTGGAATCAAAGAGATGTGCCTGGAGCCGGAGGTTCTTCATCCTCTTAGCTATTTCTTCGATGTTCTTGAAGGCGTTCCAAGCCGCTCTCTTCCTCCTGCGCAGCTCGGGTGCCAGGTCATTTGTCATGTTGACCTCCTGACCTAGGTACATATAGCTGTTGCATTCGGAGATGGTCGTTCCATTGAGAGCGAATGGGGTGTCAGGAACAAGGCTGTTTCTCATAAACATTGTCTTCGTAAGATTCAGCTGTAGTCCTACCTTTCCACACTCACGGTCAAAGTCGGCCAGCATTTGTGCCGCTTGGCTGATGTTTGGTGTTATTAAAACAATGTCATCAGCAAAGCGGAGGTGGTGTAGTTGCCGACCATCTATCTTCACTCCCTTCCCATTCCAGTCGTCTCATGATGTTCTCGAGGGTGGCACTGAAGAGTTTCGGTGAAATGGTATCACCCTGCCGCACCCCTCTCTTGACATCAACGATCACTTCTTTGTAGAATGGTGAGATCCTGGTAGTGAATCCGCAATACAGCTCATGGAGGATCCTGATGTATTGGGCTTGAATGCCCTGATTGGCTAGGGCTTCAATGACCGCTTCTGTCTCAACAGAATCAAAGGCCTTCTTTAAATCAATAAACGTTAAACAGAGTGGCATCTTGAACTCCCGAGAAACCTCAATGAGCTTGGTTATCGTGTGGATATGGTCGATGGTGCTGAATCCTTTGCAGAACCCTGCTTGCTCGCATGGTTGTCCTTCATCTAGTGTTCTGCCAATCCTATTTAGGATGACTCGAGTGAACAACTTGTAGATGACAGACAATAGGCAGATCGGGGGATAGTTGCCAATGTCATGGATGTCTCCCTTCTTGAACAGTAGTACGGTCCTGCTGGTTTTCCATTGGGACGGAACCTTGCATTCAGACAGGTAGCGAGTGAAGAGCCGAGCCAGTGTATTGATGAGTACTGACGGCAGGTTCTTCAGGTGTTCA